CCAGGCGTTAGTCCCTGAACATAATACAAGATAACGCTGGTTCATTTTAGTGTTTGTATCTCTTGGCTGATGAGAGCAATAAGGTCAGGAGGCAGATCACAGTTCCTCATCAATGTTTCAAACTCCGCTTGGGGTGCGTTCGAGATTCTTGAGTCTTTTTTTCTATTGTGTCTCCATGTTGGGGTGACACAGGCCGATTGCTTTGCCAATTGGTCGGTGAGTTCGCGCCATTGAGACGAAAAGCACGTCAGTGTATTGGACTTCATGGCATGGAGGCACATTGATAGAGCGAGCGCGAGTCCTTCAGCTAAAATTTGAAAAGTACCATAAAAAAAGATCAGTAACTTTTCATGATAGAGAAGCTGTCGCGCTACTTACACGTTGAAGTGCCTCGACACAGATCTTCTATCAAAACCAGTGACTTTGACGTCATTGCAGAGAAAATGTGGCTCATTTCTCGCATTTCGGTCATGAAGGTTGAGTACCCGAACAGCTGCTGATCGTACGCTCCAGTTCGCAAATACATCGCATCAAAAACCGGAAGCACTGCCGTTTTGCACGGAACAAAACAGCCAAGTTGATTCAACATAGTAGCGATGCCCAGAAGCTGTAGCAGCTTGGTATCACCAGCCTTTGGATCGCCTTTCACAAGCAAAAATGTCTTCTTATCGTCCCCAGACATCTCGATAGTTACTTCGTCGCAAGATTTTTCCGAAGCGATCGATGAATTCTGCGCGAATGGGTCAAAAAGTCCCCGTAGCGAAAAAACTGACCGGTTGTCTGCAATGGATGCACGGACAAACCTGTGTTTGTGCGAGACAAGCGCAAAGCTTACAAGAACGTCCAGTTCTGCAACACGAAGGCTCAATTCATCCAAAAAATCGCGGTATTGTGATCGAAAAATCGACGTCAAGAAATCCACCAGATCCGCTTCGGCAGCTTCATAATTTCGTTTCAGAGATTTCCATTTGGCCCCTAGAGAGTCGACCATCGGTGTAGAAAACCACACGCCTGAGGCTCTTGATGCTCGAATGACACTGAGACTCTTTCCGCTCTGCTGTTGAATACGGTGACTATCCTGACGAGGGACGCGGAGAACGATCCCCATCCTGGCAATAGTACTCTGGTCGTCGTCAGCGTAGATAACTTTTATACGGTCTTCCGCGATGGAAAGCAACGTCGCTGCCTATAGAAAACCCAGATAATTAATTTACTCAACGCGTTAGCGCTCTCAATTAACAATGCATGCACCTGCTTGACGGCTGCAGTGACTTCCACTTCGCACTGGCTGATTTGATATCGTAGCTCGTGGAGGTGTGAGGTTGACGCCCTCATCTCATTGTCGCTGTCTATCTCTCTAGCATTGCTGGTTTTTACCATGCTCGAAAGTACATCTGGAATCACTGCACAGAAAGGCTCAAGATCTCGAGTACAGAGCAGCAGAATTGGGTCAAGTCGTGTCGAATACAAATTGCCAAGTTCAGATGAAATTTCTGCATCTTCGATACAGGTTTTCACAAGAGCTTGAAATTTCCGGAGCCACTTTAGAAGACCATTAAAGTCCTGCAGCATGACAGTTTTGCATTGTTTAGCTCGTAGAGGTGAAAACCAGAATCCACAAATCCAAGATGTAGCATTTACCGACAAAGACAGCTTTGTATCTGTAAAGTTATCCACGACATGAGCAGTAGTAAAGACTGATAATTCACGCTCGTAGCTTTGAAAGTGCTGAAAGAGACCCGATAGTTTCCAGAGTATCGCTTTCTCTTCGCTCGCTGCTGAGATCACTGCACTCACTGTATCGTGCCGTTCATTTAGAACCACCGAGTCAATACAAGGCCCTTCCAACCACTGGAACGCAGAAAAGGTTAATATGCGTTTGCTGTATTTAGATATAAAGTCCATAAGAAACACTCGATTTCTTCGTTACCTGTTTGAGGAGTTGTCGACCACGTTTGGTGCTGCACGAAGGGCCCAAGAGTATGGAAAGAGATGTAAAGCGAGTGTTTGGCCCCGCAGAGGCCACAAACGCTTCCCGTGCTGAATTATTGAGCCTGCCGTATCATTAGAACCACATACTTTGTCAGGCAAAGGTAGTGCCTAACCGCTTTGTCCAAAGCTTACTGCATCTAACTCAGGGTTCCGGAGTGGGGTTTAAT